TATTGTGCTTTGTGGAGAGTTTTGGTGATAAAACTGTAAATACCTGTTAGTGCCCCCTACATGCTACAGAATCCAGCCACAGATTTATCTGTAGTTATAGTACATTCCCACCAAAGTATTTTTCTTGCGTTAGGTAATTTATATTTTAAGTTACTTAAGGTAAATCCACTTTAAAAATGGTTTAAAAATAATCCCCAAGCTCTCCTCTTGCCAGTAAACATCAATTTTATTCGCCTCGTGGGACTACAGCATTAGAGTCTGAACAGTCGGAAGTGTACTGTTTAGCCATGACTGTGTGTGACCAGGTGAGCCGCCATTGTTTCCAGCTACGGATTAGTCAAAACTGTGCAGCCAGTGAGTGTAGATAAACTTGCTGTACGTCACATCCGCTGGCTCGCGCTGGCTCCGTTTCACTGTCAAGCACTGGAGGCTTCAAAACAGTTCTCGACAAACCAATAGGTGACATCACGATAAGGTTCACACTTGGTCTCAAGTCACTACTGACTTTTGAATAATGCTGTAATCACTGTGCATTTATTGTATGTATCATTCAGTATCAACATTTTTGTGGCATGCCAGGTACTTTAATTGACATTTCATTATTATGTTAATAGAAAATTTAATTCACATTGCCCTCTAAACGTATTTACTGTTGCAGATCAGTTTACATAATTTCTAGGAGACAGGGCTGGTCAGGGTGTATCCTCTGGGGATCATAAATATTCCAAAAACCCTTTTTTAAAAATGTTTAGTTTTTTCCTTTTCCTTTTACCTATTTCACAATGTTTCCTTGCTCCTCATTTTGGAAAGGTTAGTTCCCCTTTAGGCCTCACAGAAGCCCTAAAATGTCTGTATTACAACAGAAAGGGCACAATCCCTCACTGGGTTTCCATCCACCAACACTGACAGTTGTATTTAAATAAAATGCTCAACCTGGGCAGCTGTTATATTCTACAATGAATCAACTTAGTCTTAATTATATCATATTTCTAACATTTTACTGATATCAGTAAAACAAAAGTTTAACTGCTCTGTGTCTTCACAGTTCTGCTGCCTGATGGTCTGTTTGTCGTCCACATCACTAATGATGGAATGAGTATCCTGGAACCGCTGGAGATTACAGACAATCATGTAGTTGTCAAAGTTCCTCACCTGTCTATTTTTGGCCTAGTCTGGGACATTGTTAAGCGGTTGTGGACGAAACCAATTAGCGGCCAAGTTCTACTTTTCCTCGGACCACCAAACCAAAATGCACAAAGGCAAAAACTCAATGTGTTTCTTCTGCCGTTGAACATCAATCGGGATGAGGTAAAGCTATCTGTAATGAGATATAATAGGCCTACTAATTGATAAGTCAGGCTATACTGAGGATTAAGACTCTAATTTAAATGTTTTGATGCCTGTTAAGGTCAGAAAACAACAGCGACCTTATGAAAACATCAAGGCCATGTCCACATGTAAACTCATCAAAGACCAAAGCTACACTCTTCACTGTCCTCAGGCCATCAAAATTCAGCCTAAAGTGAGTATTTTAAATAAAGGTCTTTGTGATGATGTTTCGTGCTGTTGGTTATCTTCAGTTTACTTAAACAGTACATACAGTTTATGATACAGACACTTTGGTTTTCAGAGCGCATATTTTATCCTGGAGTTTGGACCAAATTACTACCCCGCGTTTGAGATCCGCCTGTCCACAAATGAAGAAGAAGTGACTTTAACGGTCCGAGACCAAACACACATGGAGGTCTGGGAGCATGATGTTGATCTGATTGGTAAAGTCTTTATCCACCTGCAGCATTACTCCACCTGACAGTACAGCAGCCTCAGATTTTACAATGTCAAATAGAGCATATCACATTTCAAAACTATTTACGAGAATTAACCAAGATTTGGCAACTCTCTTAAAAGAGATAAAGTTATTAGCAAATTTCAAAAGGTTAGACAGCGAGTACCAAAGTACCTCTTCTCTCAGAAAACGCTGTCTGAGCAAAATATATTTTAGTCTTTACCGTTGCCACTTGAAGCTGCTGGTGGATTTGCTGCAGCTCTGCAGTCTCATGATATATTTGCAGAGAGGATTGAGGGACAACTCCACATAACCATTTAAAGGCCCGGTGTGTAACATTAAGGAGGATCTATTGGCAAAAATGGAATATAATATTCACAGATGTTTTTATTTGTGTGTCACACAATCACTTGAAAATAAGAATCGCTGTGTACAGTAGGTCCTCTTCTAGTCTAATCATAATCAGAATCAGAAATACTTTAATAATCCCAGGGGGAAATTAAACCACCATGTTTCTACAGACAAAGCAAACACTGGTTGTAGATAGGGCTGTTCGCGTTTTTTGGCAAGTTTCGTGGCCACCATAGTTTCTCCCTACTGCATGAAAAGGGAGGGTGAAGTAAGTGAGTTGCAATATGCAATTACACCACCAGATTCCACTAAAGCCTACACACTGGATCTTTAAAGACAGGTTTTACATAATGAAAATCAATTAAATTAGCAAACTCTTAATTAATCTTAATCTTGTAATTATCTAAATTGCAGCAATGATGGTACTTGATTTGCATTTCAAGACCTGATTATAAAGACACTCTATGGATTTAACTACATACTGGTTGGCATGGGTTCAGGTTGTCCAACCACAGGACATGTATAAAAAAAAATCATTGAATCTTCAAACACAATCAAATGTCAAGCATTTTCCGATCATCTTAAACAGCTAAGATCATCCTAAATCTTTTTAGCATGAGTTAACTGAGAATCTATGCCTAAATACTTCCCCTCTATTACATAATCAATGAGCTCTTTCTCTTTCCACCTCACAACTCTCTCCTTTTTTCTCTCTGCATGTTTGTGAAGCTTCAGGATAAGTGTGATTTTTATTTTTAATTTTTTCAGTTTGCATGGGGTGAATTTGTGTCTAATTTACATAAACTTTGACGCTGTCTGTAAAAGTCACTTTGCGTTGTGTCTGACCACACACTCAGACATGTGTTACTGAACTGTTTTTGTTCTGGTCATCCCTTAGATCCGGCTCTACGTGAAGAAAATCCACCGAGGCCTCGCTCAGCACAGGGAAGGTTGTTATCAGTTCGCTCACAGTTTGTTAGTTCAGTGTCTGACTCTGTTCTAAACCAGTTGCTGGATAAACTTCTAGAACGGGGCATTATAAATCAAGAAGAAATGGAGTCGGCCAGAACCAGAACCAGGACTGACAATGCGCGAGCTGTGATTGACATGGTACGAAACAAAGGAACAGAAGCCTGTTCCTCCCTGATTGAAGACTTGAGTATGTTTGATGCACAACTTTCCAGAACACTGAATTTGAGCTGAAGTAGGAATGAGACTCAGCAAATGAAACAAGATGAAATCTACAACCATAGATAGTAAAAAGATGCTGGATACCATTTCTAACAGAAAACAGAGTTTATTTTGCTTTGATTTATTGAAAGCATGAACAGATTTCCAATAACTACCAAATAAGCTCCAGGAATGTTGCATCTTTAATGTCCAGGTTTGAGACTACTGGCACCTTTTAATTATTAATTCATTAATTTTATATGATTAAACTTGAACTTCCTATGACCGTAACCTGAGACACCCTGATGGCTCGTTGACCAGGACAAGAAAACTTCGCATTGTTCATCTTTTCTTCCAGACCTCGATGTGTTCTGACCAACAGCTGGGAGTCTCATGAAATGAATATATTTCAAATTAGCCTCTTTGATTGTGTTACCTGGCTTACTTTGTGCTGTTTTGGGGGTAAAGTAGTTTTGGCGGGTTGTGATAATCTTGGTCTCCTTTTTGTACCATCCAAGAAAAAGTTGAATAAAATTCTAATAAATCAGTTCTTCCTCTCGTCTAAATGATATTACAGACTGGCCAAACCAGATGTTAGTTCACTTTATAATAGTTGAGCTGAAACTTGTTTGCCTCTTCCAATCACTGTTCTGTCAAAGATGTTCATGTTATTTTATGACTTTTATTGTTTTATTTTAGTGTCATGATTGTAACCATTGTTTTGGGTTTAATATACTGATGAGACAAAGGATGGTAAATGTATACCCAAAGATAATAATACGAATAATAAGAATAATAAGAATAATAAGAATAATAAAAGCCACATTGCACGCACGTATAACATTTCATACAATTCCACCATTAATAAATAATACTAAGTTACAGCAGACAGGACAGATTCAGGTCAGAAGTCTGTACTGTTTATTTTAATCCAATAATAGTAACAATAATAACATATTTATTATTATCATTATCATTGCTTTTCGATACAAGGCAGCGGTCGTCGACTAATAGTGTAATTCCTGCAAGTACCCAATAAGGCATACGGCATAACAGGATGTAAGAATATAGTAAAATATACCAAAGGTAACTGCTAATACTGCCCGCTCCTCTGTGATATTAATATTTACCTTCATACTTTGTTTGTGGTTTGATTAAAAGAATAATAATCTCTTCCCCTTTTTTTAAATTAGCCTTAAAATAATCCTGGAGAATATTCCATCAAGTGTAATACATAATAGTGGTTCACATTAGTGATCAACTATTTTCATTCTGACCGTAATGTTGTGATCAGCCTACGCAGCGCTGTGTCGGAGCTTGTTGAGATCAATACAGTCATATGATATAGAGTATGTACGTATGTTTAAATATACTCCCGTTCAAACACATGGCATACTTATACTTTGTATGTAGAACACAGTACATGGTACACTGAGTATGTAGTACACAGTATGTGGTACATACTGATTGAGCATATAGTATGCAGTATGTTAGAATGTGATTTCGGACAGACCTCCCATCTCTGGAGTGACTGTTTGTTGCTAACTTCCTGAAGGGAATGACTGAAAAGGTCCGAACTTTAAAGACACAGCGATCTATTGGATTCTTTTAGCATAGCAGACATAATCTGAGTGGTAGAGATAACTCAAGTTTGAGTTATAATATGTTCAATACATTTTTCAAAAACATATAGTGATTTAAAATGTGCTATAAACAGTGAGCAGTGCATTAAATTAAATATTTTCAAACATCTGTGACGTCCTGCAGCTTCAGCTCCACAGTTATCTCTGTCCAAACAGACTCTGCTGCTGACTGACAGCAGCAACTGTGTGTGTGTGTGTGTGTTGGTCAGAGGTGAGATCTAGTTGTCTGTCAGTGTTCGTCCTCAAATAGAGTTTCCTCCTCCTCTTTCTCTGTGAACACACTCCAAACTCAATCGTTGCCTCTCTCCTGCACTAACAGTGAGTCAATCAGTTACACATTAAATTAATTAATAAACTGATCAGTCAGGAAACAGATCAGGTGACTTAACAACATCCATGTTTATGAGGATTTTTACTTGGACGAGGGCATGTCGGCAACTCTACAACTCAATAAAGACATTTTATGAGGTAGGCTTCTATAATCAATGTTTTTATAATAATGTATAAAATGTGACAGTGTGTTGGGTGACTCTGATAGTGAATTATCAGCTGAAACCCACCAGTACTGAGTACCAGCTCTTCTGATTTTTGTCCTCATTTTAATATCAATTCAATTCAATTTCTATAGCACCAATAAATAAAAGAAGTTATCTCAGGAC